GGGAATGGGAGCAGTAACAAAGGTGTTGCGTTTATATTTTTGTTGAGTGTAAGAATGAACTTTAATGGCTTTTAATGATTTCTTTCTGTTCTCTTTTTCTTTTCCTTTTAAAAATACAGGGTGTATACGTTTGAAGTTATTTTGGAGTTTCTTCAGTCCACACTGGGTCAAAAGCAAACATACGGGATCAAATATATAATTGGTTAAATATCTCTTTGCAAGCTGCACCTTGACAAAACACTTTTAGTAGCCCTCAACAAGCTTCTGGCATGATTCTGGTTCGATAGATGATCACTGTTTTTGGCAAAATTGATAGATTTCCTTTAAATTGGTTGGTTGGTTTGGGAAAGCTGTTCCAGAAGCTTAATATTAGCCTGCTTTCTTCATTCCAAAACCTGTGGAATGATCCCAGGTGTGTTTGGGATCCTGTTGGAACACCCAGTTGTACTCAAGTTTCAATTGTCTACATCCTGATTGTAGGTAACATTGAAGAGTTTGGAGGTAGTCCTGCTTCTTCATTATTTCATCCGCTTTTTTGCAATATCCCAGTACCACTGGCAGTAAAACAGCCCCAGACAATGATGGTGCCTCTACCGTGCTTCACAGTTAGTACAAAGGTCTTAGATTTGAAAGTCCCTCAAACATACATCTATTCACATTGTGAATAGACAAATATCTCAGCCTTTGTCTGGTCTGACTATAAAACTGTTCTCCACAAGGCATTTAGTTTGGGCAGCTGCAAACTTCAGTTGATCATGATGAGTGGATGCAAACTTTTGACTACAACTGTAAATGTAGTGATTCAACTCTTTTCAGATACTCTCTGCTGTCTTTTTTTCAAGCAGCATTTCAAACTAAATTCAATGAGAAGGTACATCCCAAAGTTTTTATAATAATGAAAAAAACTTACTTTACACAGAATCAGTTTCCTCTGTTCATTTCAACTGTCAAATGAAGGCAAAAAAAGCTGAATTTGTGTCTTTTCTTAACTGATTACACCTGTGTGTTTCCAGCGGCATGTGGTGGTCTTCTATCAAAGTTAAATGGGACCATTAGCACACCTGGCTGGCCTAAAGAGTACCCACCCAACAAAAACTGCGTGTGGCAGGTGGTGGCGCCCACTCAGTATCGCATCTCCATGCAGTTTGAAGCGTTCGAGCTTGAAGGCAACGAGGTGAGTGCGTCCATGTATTTATATGCAACATTTCAGTGAGAGAGAAAGGAAGCAGGTAAAAATAGCAGCCACCTCGTGACTGTTTGTTACAAGAGCCTTGCCTGTTTGTTTAGGTGTGTAAATACGACTACGTAGAAGTGCGCAGCGGCCTCTCATCCGACTCTAAGCTGCATGGTAAATACTGTGGTACCGAGGTCCCGGAGGTCATCACCTCTCAGTACAACAACATGAGGATTGAGTTCAAGTCGGACAACACCGTTTCTAAGAAAGGCTTTAAAGCTCACTTCTTCTCAGGTAAAACACACGTGTGACTCAGCGTGTGTGAGACTGTGTGTGTCAGGCCTGTTTTTTACTGGAATGTCAGGAGTCTTTAAATAAGATGGACACAGGAGAAGTGGATTATGGTGCAGGGGCGGTTTCTGGTATTTCATGCTCGGCACCACTGGAATTCAGTCACACTGCCAGAAACTCATGCCGAACACTGATCCTCCCCTTCTGCAAACATTTTAACCTTTGAAGCTGGCAGCCGTTTCAGTGTTTAGACTAACGAGACATATCAGTCTAAAGGTGAGATGCACACAGGAGAAATAAGAGAGATTAGTCAGAATTAGCCATGTGTTGTGTTAAAGTTTTCCAGTCATGTTGCACTCACCAAAAAATCTGAATTGCTTAGATTGTTTAGATTAGGTAAGTAAAACACTCGCTTGGAAAAAAGCAGAAAGACACTGCTACTGATATCTAAGCCATCACTGACTGTGCCGCAGAGATTTAGGTAACCGTGTAATGTCCAGAGCAGAAGAAGTGGCTTTAGGAGGCATTAGCACTCTTATAAACACTCTTGTTTGAGCATCTACATACCTCATTTTGTGTCCCCATCTCCCTCTGCTGTGAATTCATTTGAGGTTGTTTGCATGGTTTAGTATTAGGTGAAATGTTCATGTGTATGCAGAGCTGTTTGCATATTTGTCTGTTTTTTTTTTTTTTTTCATGCTGCCTCCACCTGCTCTCTGGCTTCCTCCACTCACCCTGCTCTCTGCCCTCTCTCCCCTCAGACAGACTGGCACAGTGTCAGGAGCGTATGTTTGTGTTTGAGTCGTGCCAGGACGTAACGCGCGTCAGTTCAACTCGTGGTCATGTCGGCACCAGGCTGGCAATCTCATCAAAGGTCAGAGGTAACATGACCTCACAATCGGGATTGATCTCTGATTGGCTCTGGTCAATTAAGGGAATGGATAGATCCTACTTTATTGATGTGGATCCTTTCTTTATCCATTCTGCTCCAGAAGGAAACGTTCTGTGTCCCAGTATTGTACAAATTATTGATAAAATCTATGATTCGGTGGACTAAAATTGTGATAATATGGAGTTATGAGATGCTATCCTACAACTTTCTGTCATCCATATTAAAGCTCCCAACTAGGCCTTAAATGAAAACCCTTAAAAAATTAGTAAGTAAAGTAAATAATGGAATTACCCATAATGAATGTGTAGTTATTGTTTTATGTCACACAGTGTTTGCATGATAGCTAATATGGAAAAAAGTAATGAAGAAAGTGGTGAGTTTGATCAATTTACAGGTTCTAAAATATTCAGCAAATAAATGTACTATATGGCTACTTACTGTTTACTGAATGAAAAGTAATATACACTACCTGTCCAAAAACAAGTCATCACCTGGTTAACTAAGCAAACTAAGACTTACACTAGATAATGACTGCAGTGATTACTATGTTTTGGATGGTAACAGGTTATTTAACCATAACTGATGCTGTGAGGAGCTTAACCAACCATGTTAGAAGACATATCCTGTGGTTGTGAAAAACCTGTTATGGTTTTTCAGAAGGATTGAAAGGGTTATTGGTTTGCATCAGGCAAATAAAACAAATGGAGATTGCTGAACCAAGTAGCATTAGGTTTACACATTATTAAAGACCTTGAAGTATAATGGAGAACCATCATCTTCACCAAAGAAGTGTGGCTCCAGTTTGCTGAAGACCATAATGACTGGACTCTGGAACAATGAAAGTAGGACAGTGATGCGAGTCAGAGGAGAGGCAAATGAAGCAATACTCCCTACTGCCAGCCTCTGGCTACAGTCCTATGATCTGGGTTTGGTTCAGTTGGTCAGGTCTTGATTCAGCAGCGTAATGTGGCCCTGCAAAAAAATGAGGTTAGTTGAGTACCTGAATACACTGAGTGGTCAGCTTTTTCCATCAGCGGATTTTTGCTTCCTTGTTGGTGGTTCCAAGATGACAATGCCAGGATTCATCAGGCTCTAAGAGTAAAAGAGCAGTTTGGGAAGCATGACACATCACTCTTTGGCTTGGTAATCACAGAGTGCAGACCTTAATCCCATTAAGAATGTTTGGGATGCGCTGAAAAAGACTCTCCCATCATCAATACAGGAGAAAAAAATCCAAGTCTAGATGGAAATGAATGTGGTCACAGTGCAAACTGAAACAACACCCCTCAAATCTGTGCCATCAAAGCTGGCCAAAAGAAATATAGCATGCATGATGTGAAAAAAGCTTTTTATTATCCAAAATGTTTAAGTATTGTCACCATCATGTATTTTCATAAATCCAGGCCATGATTATCGTATGCAAATATATGTACGTTGATTTTTTTTTAAACTGCAATCTCAAAGACAGTCTTAAACAGTATGAAATTGGGACACAGCCCATTTTCCACTAAAAATACAACAAATGTTCCCCGCTTGCTGTTTCAGGGAGAAATTTGTTGGATGTTATGATACAGATTTCTCTTTTTTACTCAAACAATTTACTGCAAACTTGAAGAGAAAATCAGGACAGTTTAAACTTCAGAGGAAGAAAAGCTGTTAACTGCATTCAACTAACCTGCAGCACACCTTTAACACACAGCTAAACAGTTCAGTGGGGCAGGCTTGCAAAAGGAAAGTACTCAGATACGAATAATGTGCGTACTTGTGTGTTAAAAGCTGCTGTGTGGCTCAGTTACTGTCAGAAGCTTTTAGGGATAGCTTTTGGTTGGTGAACAGCCAGCAGCTTTAGGGAGGTCCCCTCAGCCTCCCACATACTACTAATCCGTGTGTGTGTGTGTGCGTGTGTGTTTGCCCGTGCGTGCGTGTGGACATTTTGTGCTTGACCTGAAGACAACTACAATGAACACTGTGTAGCATCGACCGCAAAGCTTCTTAGCCTGTGATAGGGTGAGACTGAGCCCACAATAGCACTGTAATACCACAGCAGACACAGACAAACACACACGGAGAAAGAGAGGGAGAGAGAGAGGATTTAGTGGTTTCATTAAAAGCAGATCTAGTTTGATTCACAAGCTCCAAAGTTGAAGTGAGACTCGGCGTCTGTGTCTAATCTCACATCTCTTTATAGGAATCTGTTTCTCTCTCAGTCACAAACACACTGTGCTCCCACACTCTCCCCATACATCCTCTGTCTTCCTGTGCGGTCTGCAATCCATCCTCACCTCCTCTGCCTCTTTCTGTCTCCGCGCTTAACGTGGCAACCCCGAGCAGAGCGAACCTTCCGTTGCTTCTTCCGCCTCCACCCGGTATTCAGCCTCACCAAAGTCTTTGTTCTCACCCAGCCCATCCTGTGGTGAATCCAAGTGGTTAGAGGACACCACAAATTGAGTATGAGGGAGAGAAAATGATTGGGAAGTGAGTTTGTTTTTGGACTTTAAAACGTTTCCACCTTTAACCTGCAACCGGATCAATTTGATCAAACTCTGTGCCAAGCCAAACATTTTACTATAACACAAACAATCTGTGTCTGTTTACCTAAAAATCCTCTTACATGATCGGGAGTGGTGCAAACAACATTGGTACACAAGTACATCTTAAGCCCTGAAGGTTGTCATCTATATCAGCCATTATGATGTCATCATGTTGCCAGTTACCAAGAGGATAAAATAATCCATTTGCAGCTTTTATGCATCTATAACACCGAAAGGTACTGTATCATTGACATTTCACAACAATTACTAATTTCTAATTTATAGCAACAAATTGATTGATGCTTGATATATTCATCAACATCAGCATGTTACCTAGCAACCGCATAACAATGGACTAAAAGATGAACAGACCAAACAATACTCTAGCATGCGCATTTACTTGGTGTTCAAATCTTATTTTAAAATTCTATTCAGATTCTTCAGATTCCCAAAACATTCGCAAGACACCACATGTTCACTCTGAATTTTGAGGTAATGTGTATTGAATGATAAAACAAACTATTTAATTTATATTAACCTTGTGAATATTTTTTCATATTTTGCATATTTAATGGAGTCTTTTACTCAGTACAACCAATATGTAGCTCCAATAATAATCTAACATAATTATGTAGTATATGATGGGACTGTAAAGTACCATGGTGGGGTATAAACATAAATACAGAGGCTTAAAGGTTCCAAAAGTGACTAAGAAGTTTTTATTGGATTCTGACCAATTCCCTATACAGTTGATGAATGATGAAATCTTTTATGTATCAGCACATAGCAAAAATGAATGAGGAATTGAAAAAAATCATACAGTTTATGACATGCAGTTGGGCAAATAATTATTTGATCACCCGCTGGATTTGCAAGTTTGCTCACTTCCAAAGAAATGAACTCTCTCTCACTTTTACTATAGTTTCAGTTTAATGCAGCAAGAGATATATCAGCTGAAAATGCAAAAAAAACCCACATTACAACACACTACATAAAAGAGACTTGCTAGACCACTGAATGACATTCATTTGCTTCTTCTTTAGCCACTCCTTTGTTGCCTTGGTGATATTTTTTGGGTTGTTGTCATGACACATCCACGACCCATCTTCAGTGTTCTGGCTGAGGGAAGGAGGTTCATTCATTGTTCCCTTAAGGCAGTGAAATCCTGCTGTACCCTTAGCAGAAAAACAAAACCATAATGTTTCCACCTCCATGCTTGACTGTGGGGATGGTGTTCTTTAGGTCATACTCAGCATTTCTCCTCTTTCCGACTTGGCAGATGAAGTTGACACCAAAGAGTATGATTTTGATTTCATTTGACGACAACACTTCCCCCCCAAGCCTTTTCTGAATCATTAGATGTTCACGGCCAAACTTAAGACAGACCTCTGCCTTCTTGAGTAGGGAGACCTCATTGGTGCTGCACGGTATAGTGTGTTAATAGTGGTGTTCTTGGTGACTTTGGTCCCAACTGTCTTCAGGTCATTACCAAATCTACCACCTTTTTCATGATCATCCTAACCCTGTGATTCAAGATCTTGCCTTGAGCACCAGACCAAGTGCAATTGATGATCATTTTATGTTTCTTCCATTTCCTGATATTCACACTAGTAGTTGTCAACGTCTCACCAAGCGTCTTGCGGATGGTGTTGTTGCTCACTATGCCTTGTGCAGGTCTTCAATCTTGTAATTTGTGTGCCACATGGACACACAGCCAATTTGTGGGAGCCAGAATTCAGACTGTTTTGATTCAAATACTTATTTTACTCAATGACATGCAAATCAATTTATACATTTTATGTAATGTGTTTTTTTCTGGATTTTTGGTTGATATTCTGTCTCTCTACACTAAAATACGAATAACATAAACAGAGACTGTTCATTAGAGTGTATGCATGTTGAAAGTTATGGACATGATGTTATTACTTCCATCTGATAGCTGTATAAATCACTGCAGATGGTTTGAAGTTTCTTCCATCATTAGAGAAAGCCAAGTGCATCCCAAAGCTTACTCCTGTGGTTCTACCCTACCCATTAATTAAGAGACCCTTCAGCAGCCACGCGTGCTTTCAGTCTGTGTTACACTCATAACAAAGAGAGGTTACAGGGGCTCGACTGCAACTGGGCCCCAGACTAAAACAAGTACACAAACAAGATACACAAGTAGGGTATGTTAACAAAAAACAGATGAAACTAATCAGGGACAAGTTAATGGATCACAAAGTAGGGACAACTAAGGATGCAAAACAACACATTGGGACACACAAGGGAAGTAATACTTTCAAAATAAACACAAAGAATAATCAAAATTCAGTAAACCTAAATAAGACAGCTGCTGTGACCTGAACGTAGACGATTGCAACACAACAACAGACTTACACAAACTAACAAACTTCAGAAAGTTTTTTTTGTTTTCTTTCGTTAGATATTCTTCTCTGTGGCAATCAATGCAAACTTTTGCCTTTTTGAGTAACTTCTCCTTTATTGATCTCCAGCTGTTACTGTAGTAAAAAAACAAAAGTAAGCTGCAGAGAGCGTTCAAAGCCGGGATGGCTCACTTGATCATCCTGCTGGGCTTTAACTCTCAGCCTTGCAATAAAATGTTTAACTTGTCTTCATTTTCTCCTTTTCCACTGCACCCGCACCTCATTACTGTCCTCTTTTGTTTCTCTCCCTTCCCACCATCTCATCTCTCTGATGTTTCCACATCACTGACGTGTTGCATGTGTATCCCTCATAGACAAAGACGAGTGCAGCAAGGACAACGGCGGCTGCCAACACGAGTGCATCAACACGGTGGGCTCCTACGTGTGTCATTGTCGCCATGGCTTCGTGTTGCATGAGAACAAACATGACTGTAAGGAAGGTGGGTTTCATGTGCATTCACACCCACACACACACTGGCATAAAAGCACCGGAACACACGTGCATGCTGTCGCGCATCAACACAAGCATGTGCTCATTCATAAGAATAGCCATCATCCATCACGCGCTGTCCACACACATCCACATGATAGCAGGCTTTACATTTGAGGGAGTTTTTTTTCTTTGGCTTATATTTTTTCACATAGATTAAAGGGACAGTTCACCCCCAAATCTTCTGGCCTGTGGCGCTATTTATTCATCTAAATTGTTCAAGTGAGAGTTGTCCAATTTCTGGGATGTCCACTGTAGAAATGTCTGCAATATCCTGAATGTAATAAAACCTTATGGCATTTGCCTTGGAGTGCGCCCCAGTGAAAAAGGAAATTGAAAAATGCCGCAGGAATGTCTTTTTTCCTGAAACCATGACCTTGCTTTCTTTCTGTCAAACTACACCCACCAACCAAAGAAGGCATGCAGCTAGCTAACGTTAAAGCTCAGCTGAGGGGAGACGCCATCAGTACTTACATCCTGTCACGCTGTCACTCGCATGAGCCTCGGGACAGGTAGAGGCATTCTTCCTCTTGGGTAGTGAAAAGCTTGGCAGACAGAAAGAAAATAGGTGCTGGGTGAACCTGCTCAGACCAAAACAATGCAGGCAAAATAAATAGCACTACAGGCAAAATGGAACACAAGTTTAAGGTTTTATATATCAGGATATATTAAGAATCAATTAGTCCTCAACAGGTCTTAAAATGAGGTAAATACAACCTCAGGGGAACTTCAAAACATGACATATTACACAATGTTACTATTTCTTTAACAAAAACTGAGACAAAATCATCAGCAAAAATTAAAAACTTAATTATATATTAAGAGTATTTATTTTGTGTAGTGAGACTAAAAAAGAAACAGCTTTCACATTGACATTTACTGGCCCTGAAGGGCAGTTGGTTTACACTGAAAGTCATCAGACCTAACTTGGACTGTTCTTAAAGGACATTCCTGAAACAGAAACACACCAAGTCCAAATTAATTACCACAGAAATGTCCCACAAAACTGTGACATTATAAATTATATGTAGGGGATTAACTTCAGGAGATGCTCCACTCTAAACGACTTGATACTCTTGAACTTTTCTCAGATGACCTAAAAACCAGTTGCCAGTCTCTAAAACTCTGTTCACTCTGATGTGTGTGAGAAACGGACAAAGGGTGGAAAAAAGTTTTAGTTTGACAGAAAACATTATTTATTAAAGGTTATTTGCACTTTCACACACACACACTTGCACAAACACACACACACACCCTGCTGAATGGACATATTATACACAGCTCTTTGAAGTTGAACTTTTGAACACGTACACACACACTCACAACATCAGCACTGACATACACACCTCACTAAAGACTCCCCGTGATGCTCATAAAAAGACTCGTGTTTCAAACATCTGGGATCTTGAAAGCTTTGCGTGTAGCGTTGTCTTCCTGTGTGTACATGTGTGTTTATATGTGCACAACACCAGTGTAAGCGAGCCTTGCCGTGTCACACTAATTCATATTCCCGTCACACGGCCTGTGCCCCTGTTTATATATATACATGAGCTTCGGCTTGTTTGAGAAGATTTCAGCAATTGTTGTTACACCCTGGATTCATCATTAAGCATAACTGTTACTCACCTTTATGGCTTTTCACACCAGTGGGAAATATAAAAAAATGACACACAGCATCCTTTAAAGTCTCAGGGATCTCATTTTAAACTCTTGCAGTGACTTTGAAACTGTTAGTTTTTACCAGCAACTTGATCAGATTGTACCCATGGCTCTATCTGTAACATGAGGTGTTACACTCTTCTGTAAAAACAAAACTGTGTGGAGATTTTGACATCTGTATGTGATACTTTGCATGCTAGAAAAAAGGAAAAAAAAAGCTTTTTCAGACTCACGTGTTGTTCTTGTGGATGCCATTTCATGCTGTACATGAGTTTGGTTTTCCTGAGAAATAAAAGCCATCACCTTCAAACGCATCGTCTTTGTCGTGTGCGTGCCTTTTGCCTCCCCGCACCTTCATAGAGCCATAGCATTTGTCTCATTAAAATCGAATGCATGAAAATGCCATGTGTGACTGTGTGTGGGCTGCTCTGGACGGCTTTAACCTGAGACAGACTCCAGGAGGAAAGTAGTCAGTGTTAACAAACAGCTCCTGTGTGTTTCCAGACTCGTCCATCAGTGACAAATGAAGTGCAGCTGATATTTTTCAGTGCGCTTTCTGAGATTCTGTGGCAACAAAGAGCTGACTGCTGAGTACGATTTTCTATAATGTAATGAGTAGGTGGAGCTGACAAAGCCTTAAAATCAAAGAAAGTGGGGCAAATGACAGAGTAGTCGTCAGGAATAAAAACAAAAACCACTGAGTTTGATACTTCTTCAATGAATGCAATGGTGTTTAGAAAAGCATTCAATCTTTAACAGACTCTGAATGTTACATGTGCAGGTATGGTTACATAAATGTACACTATTTGTCAGTCTAAACTCACTGAATGCATATAGAAAGCATTCAGGCCCACCTCCTCTCCCAAATCCAAAATAATGATATGGTTCTTACTTTAATTACTGTATACAAATAAATAGTGTACATATACATATATGTACTCAGCTACAGTATAGAAAGTGCAAAGGTCCCACTGCAGTGTTTGTGCAAAGCTTGCTGCCAATTTCAAGTGAAACCCACTGTGAACTTGTCACCAGGATGTGCTTCTTTGAAATCTTCTTCTCTCATTTAGTTCTTGTGTTTCTCTCCTTCCTGTTCCTTTTCCATTTCCTCTGACCTTTTCCTGTGCAGCCATGATTTTTAAACTTCCTCTCTGTGTGTGCTCTTGCGTGT